CCCCAAAACCCCAAAACCCCAAAACCCCAAAACCCCTTTCAGGCGATTAAACATAGAATTTGTTAATAATAAAAATGTCAAAAATCAATTTTCTACAGATTGAAGACACCGGCAATGCCTCTCCAAGTAAGAATTTATGAAATTTGGGTAGAATTTTTGTAGAGAGAAATAGCAAAAGGTCAAGGTCTGTGTTCAGGAACGGTCTCTTACAGAGTAAGCACATTTATTCTCTAAATTTTAATGTTAAACAATCAAAATCTCTTGTCATAAACTCCTATTATTCTCATTAAGACTTGAAATTACTTTTTATAAGACAAGTGAATTTTGGAAGAGCCAAAGATAAGGAAGAATTCAGATTTAAATGAGCCAAAAATTACAGGGCCCAAAATGATCAAGGAGACAAGGACCCCAACTAAGTCAACTCACAGTAGCAAAAGGATCCATTATAGCTTCATGAGCAATGACAAACATCAAAGTGATGCTTTCTCGAAACTGCATAATAGTGGTAATTTATAACATTTTAGTAATATAGCTGTTAAAAAAAAAAGTTCTGCCTTCCTGAGTGTTTATAAATATATCAATAAGCCAACCAAAATGACCAGGAAATCCTCGAAGAAGCTGAAAATGAAGGTAAACAAGAAGAAGGAGGCCAATGACCATTTTAAAAGGTACAAACTTATCAAGCTTAAGGTAAGAGGTACCCTCAGAGCTGTTTTCTCACTTGAAATTAGCAATTTTAAACCATTTTATAGCACAATGTGGAGTACGTGGGAAGACTCAACCATGGTCTTTCAAACCAAGAGTTACTCTCAAGTATTTTTGAGTTGGAAAATTGTAAGATATCACCATCGTCTTCAGTGGTCAAGCTAAGGTAAGCCTGTAAAACTTCTAGCATTAAAATTTAGCTTAAAATACGAACCTCCAACTGCCAGAGATTACCTTCTTAAGATGCTTTATGATAAAGTCCGAAATAAGGAAAAATTCTTGCATTACACAAAATTGCCAACTAAGAAGAATGAGATCCAAGAGAAGAAAGACAATGAAAAGGAAAACTATCTTAAAGGTTAAAGCTAGGTCTGATCCTCTAGATTCCAGCCTTTTCACTGAAAGTGTTCTCTCCGATGACGAAAATAAGAAGAATTCCCAAAAGGTTAAGAAGTTACTGAAGCAATTAGAGAAATAAATATAAGTACTTCTCTCTCCATTATTCTTCTAGGGATCCAAAGATGTTTGACCTTGCTGAGAAGAAGGGCAAAACTATTGCTAAAAAGTTTATACTTAGTAAGCCAAAATGGGACTTTTAGAGCTCAAAAAGAAGAAAGAGATTAATAGCATGAATAAGATGCTGAAACATCAGCGGACACAAGTGAATCGTAACTCTAATAATACTAATTTGCTGGCTACGCCTGGGCTGGAGGATTTAACCACTAAAGGGTACGATAGTATTCTCATACTTTATGTTTTGGATTAGCAGCTTAAACTTATTGTAAATTCTCACACTTTAATATTTTTATGATAATTTTATGCCTAAATAGAGCGATAAGGAAGAAGATCAAAATGTTGAAGAAGAGGGTAACATCGACAAATGATGAACCATTGTGTAAATCTGGGACCTTCAATTTCACTCAAGGTATTTTTGAATCTCAACCTTAGTATCGAACCAGGACCCCTCAAATGCTGATGATAAAGCTTTGAACAAAAGTTTGCTATCGATCAGATCAGATATTAAGTCAACTACAACTGCTGCTAAATAAGTCTGAAGGAAAACAAAGGATAAACAAGCTGAAGGTCTTTGCTGACCCAATCCAGAGGCTTAAAAATCAGGTATTTTACATAATAAATCCATAGATTAACTCTAAAACTCTCGATCTGAAGTCTCAAAGCCTCGCTATTGAACGAGAAATTGTAAACCTTAAAGAATTCAAGCAAGTTTTTGACCAATACAAAGCTGCTATCCAGAAATTATCTGCAAAGTACAGTAATTCTGGTATGTTCTCCACCAAATTTTAGGCAACAGCAGGAGGGCTCAGTCTGAGACCCCTAGCAAGAGCATAGATTTCAGCCAACTTTGCCACAAAGTTCCTAAATATTATGTGAAGATCTTTGATGGCACAAAGAAGAACCAAACGTTACTGGATGACAGGAAGAAGATCGAAAAATAACCTCCTTATTAAGAAGTACGAGATGCTTCTTCAGCACCGGGAAGTCATCATGGAATACCTCAACAAGGTACTTTAGAACCTGATTTTAGGTGATCCTAATGCATGAAGATTTAAAGAAGAAGCAGAGTAATCGTGTTCTGATTTTTAGGAAAACGCCTAGCCAAGATTTTGTATGGGAAAGGGTTAGAGAAGGATCTCCATATTAGTAAGGGCATTGTTAAGCAGATGACTGATGATTTGAACAGCATCAATAAGCTTCTTCAAGATACCATTCCGAAAATAATGGAGGTTGCAAATCCTAGCAAATAACAACTGCTTGTCTCATTCTATGTCTCTTGAAAAGGCAGATAATACATTCTTGAAATAAAATTGAGGCTCTTGAGGAACGATTCGGAAGCGATTCTTCACACAAAAAGAAGAAGTGAGTGAAAAATTATGAGCAAGGGTTGAAAATTTCTTCTCTTCATAATTCCTACTTGTTCTACTAAGAATTCACGTTATTAGTATGTTCCATAAAAGATGTATTCTTCAAAAATACTTACTTTAAATGCAAAATATTAAGAATTAGTCTGGAAATAATTTAACGCAGATTTAGAGCTAAAAATATGAACTTTAATTTTGTTATAGAATCGATGAGTCATTCAAAAGTGTGATCAATAAGTAAGTTGTCACTGATTCCATAGTGATGCGATAATGCCATTGGTGACTCAATCGCTTAAAGTACTCGGCAAAAAGGTTTACAAAAGCTCCCTAGCTTTCCAGGTAAATTTACAGTGATTCTTCTGTAGAAAAGATCAATAATGAAGCCGAAATTTGTGTATGAGAAGCCTAAGCTCCCCCTTTACTTGCAGCCAGGAATTGTTTTCAGCAATTATGAGTTATGTAAGGATGAGCATGAAGCTCATTATGATTCTGAGATAGTGAATATACCATCATTTGACAAACTTAATTAATGTTGTAATTTTCAATTTTGGAAAGATTCAGGGGTTTTGGGGTTTTGGGGTTTTGGGGTTTTGGGG